AAAGTATTCTACGGGTCCATGGTGTTCTCTAGGCAAATTTTCCTTACCTCTTCCTCCTCCCCCTCACCAGCCTCGCCAGCTCTCGACGGCAGTTACAGGGAAAACTGGAAAAGTTCTCTGGAAGAGCGGCAAGAAATTATGAGTCTTCTGGAAGATGGTAGGCAGGATGGGATGGGGAAAAAAAGTGGGGGGGGGTTCGTACCAGAGGAGGGAGGCCTGAAAGAAGTCGTATTTTGGTATCTTGCTGAAATTCTCCCCAACGTCAGCACATGCCCTGTTCGGCCCTGGAAGGTAAGAAGGCATAGAAGGCAGGGCAACTCTTCCAATCATAAGGGATCAGAAACATTGGAAGCAGCCGATCCAACAAGACCGAGAAGGTTTCCTTTGGCTAAGGGTACAAATGGTGGTTGGTTTGGCAGTCTTATAAGTAGTAGTCAGTTCAAGTGAATCAGCCTCATTGGCTGGATTATCTGCCTAGTATTTTTTTCTGTCAAAAATGTGAAGCTCTGACTACAATTCGCTGCTAAAATGTTTATTCAATCATTCGATATGTGGTGATGAGCACCGGACTGAATAACTTCATGCTACGATGTTTCGAAATTCGTCACACTTCACACCCGGGCTCTTGCTTTAGCGCTGTGCTTGTGACTATCCTTTCCTGGTTCGGTGGCTGAGTATGACTCCACTGCCACACTCTTCCTTAGCGCCAACACCGTACTTCTAGCAGGACATGGACAGTAAGCGGCATCAGCACCAGGTTGTCCTTCGGCACCTGGCTGTCCTGGTGTACCATCTGGTCCAGGTGGTCCGGGCTGTCCTGGAGGTCCTTGAGGTCCTGGTGGTCCAGCAGCAGCCGCTCCTCCTGCTTGGCCATCGGGTCCGGGAGGTCCAGGCGGTCCCTGTGGTCCTGGTGCACCAGCAGGTCCTGGTAGTCCCATTCCTTTCTTGCCGTCTGCTCCAGGCATTCCTGGTGCTCCAGGTTCTCCTGGTGCTCCTGGTGCTCCAGCGTCTCCTGGTGGTCCTGGAGGTCCAGGCATTCCAACTCCTGGTGCAGAGACTCCGGCTCCAGGCATTCCATCGGGTCCAGGAGGTCCTGGAGGTCCATCTGGTCCAGGTGGTCCAGCGGGACCAACCGGGCATTTGACACAACCTCCTGCTCCTCCCCCACCTGAGATTGCTATTCCATCATTTCCTTTCTTGCCGGCCTGTCCTGGAACTCCTGGTTCTCCAGGCAATCCTGGAGGTCCGGGAGGTCCTGGTGGTCCAACCGGGCAACCGGCGGCCTGTGGGCCACAGTTGCAGTGAGCTGGATAAGGCTGACGACGTTGGCGTGCAATTGAACGTGCATGACGGAACGGATCCTGTGGAGCTGGTCTCATTTCGTGCCAGGCAGAGTTGGCCATGTCCTGAAAGCACAAGGTTGGTATTGATTGTATGGGGAAAAATGGTTCTGCGCTAACAAAGTGGGAAAACAGGAGAGAAACGGGTCTCACCTTGAAATCGGCGAGCTCCTCAATAGCATCGTCATAGAAGTTGTTAATGTCGTTGATTAGATAGCCGACAATGATGATGCTGAAGGTGGTGGCTATGGCGGCAACGCCGGCCACACCCGATACAACTGTAGTCAAACTCATCGCCTGAATCAGATTCAGAATGATAAAGTGCCTTAGGGGGGTGCGAATGGTGCTGGTGGAACTAGCACCACCAATGAAATCAGGATGAAGTCGGACTTACCCACTTGGAGCACCGTCGATGTGCTGTGGCTGTTGTTGTGGATGACTGCTTTCCAAGGGCTGTCGACGTCTTTAAATAGGCCTCTCTTCGTGGTCACTTTACAGTGTGACATTCTCGAAGTGCACGACCAGATCTGTCTGGTTTTTGTGGAGCCGCCATAAACGCCGGTATGACAGGCTGCCGCCTTGCTCGTCCCGCCCACTTCCTATGATAGCTTGCACAGCGCCCTGACAACGCGCTGACCAGGAGGTCTGATAGACAGCTGTGAAAACTGACGCTTTGCTCTCTACAACTTGGACGAAATGGCTCCTTGGAATCAGGGAAGGTAGCATTTTTGCAGTATCCCAAGTAATAACCAGCTTTCTGGGTATACCATTCGAGTTCCTAACCTGTCAGCTTCTTCTACCTCTTATAAGCCTCAGAAGGGAAACTTGTCCCACCAATTTTCCTCCTTAATCCATCTTCAGGAGAGGAAAAAAATGTCAGTTCTGGTTTTCATTGTCGGTTTTCACTCGTTGTTGACCTTGGTGGCTAAGCCAAAAAAAGAAAAGTCTCAATTTGAGCGATTCGATGGAATCCTCAGAAACTGGTAGCTATCCACTCGAAGACAGCTCATTGAGAAGATTTCCACAGCGTGGAATCTCTTCACTTCCCAGATTTCTTCGCGTCTATGCGAGCGTTAATATCCTTAGAGAAAAGGCATTAGAGAACTCCTGGTGCAAACTGGGATTACTGTCATCCAAAATAATTACCGTACTCTAAATTTCTTAGTCACCCCGGGGCTTCACTCTTCATTTTAGGTCTAGGCAAAAGTCCTCATCCCGTTTACGGTTACTGAACTTCTGTCAACACGATCTTCTTTCGCTGCGAGGCTTCAGAGGTATTTTTCCAAAGCATCTTCTGATGGAGCACTTGAAGGGAGGAAAATAAGGAAGAGGAATGAGGGCAGGAACGAAAGAAAAGAACGAAAGAGGAAGGAAAAAAGAACAGAGGAGGAAGGCTTGGTGGTATACAGATATCCTAAGACCCAACGGGTTGATTCACCGATGCGTTCACTCATTTTTCTGTCGTTCATTCCTTTACTCATTTCACTAAATGATTCATTCATTCGTTTCTGATTTCCACCCAGAGTAGCGCGGTTAGGCGCTCATAACAAGGACATTAAAAGTTCTTCTGATGTGAAATTAGAATTACAGTACCACATTTTGGTCGAATTTTTCCACAGCAGTAGATTTGGCTAAAATACTTACCCCCTGGACACGAGTACTGAAGCGAAAAGCACCAGCC